CAGCACAGCAGCAGAGACTCAACAAAATATCTTCCTGAAGTTATCTTTAGCCCGTTCCACACAGCTGAATAAAATCCTACATTTTTTGTTTTGAAATGGAATATATGATAGTCTGGTTCGGATAACCCAGTTCAAAGTAGATATTGCCGAATTTTTGGCCTTGATATTCTGGGTTATATAGCTGTGTGGAGGTCCCTAGACAGACTTCTAGGCACACTGGATTGCCCTTTCTATGGCCACAAATGAAAGGGATATTTCTCTCCTGAAAGTCTTAAGGCCTAAATAAAGAGTTTGCATTGGTCTCTTCCCAGCATACTGTTCTTGCTTTGAATCTTGCCATGAAGCCTTTGGGTACCTTTGTGAATTGTTGCTTGGATTGCTGATTAAATGGTAGAGTGGCATATGAATTCAGCAGTGACAACAATTTAAATATTTAATTTTAGCTCTATGAGAAACACTACATTTCTTGAAGAAGTAATTCATATGTTCCCTAACTACTATATTGGGGTGGAGAGAAGTTGGGGGAGAGAAGAGACAAATTGGTATTGAATAAAAAAAAATCTTTAACCTTTTGAAAGTTAATATTTGAAAGAAATGCAAGCCTGTCTAACCTTTGAAATATCTAAGGGACTCCTCTCTTCATCCTCCACTCTCAGAAGCACTGTTACTCCAGACAAGAGAAATACAACTTTTGGGTTATTTCTTTCAGGCTGTCAGGTTTCCTGCTAAGGAACTACACATAGAGAGACTTTATCCCTTCTTGACCTTTGAAAACCGGGCCTATGACAATTATATTCGTGTGGTGTGGAAGAGGTTTTTAACTGGCCAAGTGTTGATTCTTTTATTGATGTCTTTTTATTTCTGTTTTAAATCTGGCCTACTCCCCCCTCCCCATGTTGGTTTACTATGAATTTAATATAATTGGCCATCTTGAATTCCATTATAAAGCAGACATAATGTATAATCTAACAAACACATGATAAAGTCAAAGAATAAGAGCAATATATATATGCCCTTCATTTCGGTGATGTATGCAAGCTTTATTTGGGGGTGTTTCTGAAGAAGGGCTGTGCTCTCAAGGGTTTATTCTCTAGTTTATCTGTGGCTTTAGTTCAAGAGGCTAGTGTTTCAAGAGGTTATTTTTGCACAGGAGCAGAACACAGAAGGAGACATCATCTGATATCAACAACCCCCTCTGTTGTGATGTTTTTCTTTTCCATATGTCTTTGTTATCATTTTGCATTCTTAATTCCCATGAAGAAAGGTAGAGGTGGCTGTCCTATATGTAAGCTGAGTTCCTTGTTTCTTTTTCTTTTGACTGTCCTTGGCTGCATGTTCTCTGTTGATGTCTTGTTCCTGGTACTTGACCATCTTGTCTGTGAAAGGAAACACTCCAGCTGGCTTGCCTGATAAGAAGAAAGGAAGGTTTGCTTGGTTTAGTCACTCCACAGAAACTCATGGTAATGTTCCAATGTTCTCTGTGTCCACCTTCAGTGTGTGTGTGTGTACCTTTCTGTGTAGTACCTGTGTAATCTGTCGGTGCATGCATTTGTCTCTTTCTGTTGCTTCTGCAGCATCCTGCACTTGTGCTTGAGATGGTAACTCCTATTGACAATCAACCTTTTGTCAAAGTCTTTGGAATTGTAATTCATGCTGTTCAAATATGTCTCCAAGATGCTCCATTATGTCCCCAAATAATTTTACTTGGTGTTTCACATGTAACCACTTGCTAAAATACTGGGGTTAGGATAATTTTGGTTATTTCCTCTACAGTATACCAAGCAGGTATCAACTGTTAAGAGCATAATATAAACGTATTTTGTGTTACTGAAAGGGAATGTATTAGACAACCTAAATAATTGGTGGCTTGTGCACAGTGGGATTGATTGGGTAGAGGGTAAGATAAATAGGTTTTCTGAGAAAAATTCATTAGGATTTTCAAAACTTATGACAGAAAAAAAGGTTGCCAACTATTTTTGTCTCTGTTATGCTGGAAAAAATGGTGAATCCATCTTAAATTCATATTAAGATACATAATGGTCAGTTACACATTTGATACCTTTTAAACCCTTGATAGAACATGTTGTGAAATCTCTTGAAGTTCTGCAAAATTTTGTAGTCTGTGGAGCTGCCAAATCACCTGTCCAAACTCATTGTAGTCATTTCATCATGTTTAGATCATTTTGTGTACCATATTCTGACAACGGCATTGTGGGACATAATGGACGAACCTAAAATTACAGTACTGTGGATTTAGTTTTAAGACAGTTCATTGAAGAACTATGCATTCTGTATAACCAATACACTGCAGTATAGTGATATAGCCATGATCAGCCTTTATATTCCCAACTCAAAGAACTGGAAGCAATTTATTGCTGAATGATTTGGAAGCTATGCATGGTGACAACAAGCTAGTTCTGAATTTGTAGCTTTCTCGAACAAAGTAATGCACTTAACCACTTACCTGCAATTAGAATGAGACCGAATGATTACCAGGTGGGGTTGAAAATGAAGCAACTCCTACTATAATACAAATTGGAATAATTGACCTATACACTCTTGGGAAGTCTTCTCAGGGAGTTATGGTTATATTTGCTTTCACATAAAATTATATTGTTGGCATTTCTAAATGGGTACCCAATATGTGATGCAGTTGTATAACAGAACTTAGAAATTCGCTTTTTATTAGTCTTTGAATCCATTTCTACAGTCTGGTATCTTTGTCGCTGGGAAACAAAAGTACAAATTAGCCACCTGAACTATTTTTGGCATTTATAATTACCTCTCACAGTGTTCACCCAGATTTTGTACAACAGAATTGTAACCTGCTTGACTGAGAAGATTAATGAAAAAGATTTTAGGCTTCTTCAAGCACAACATAACATTTTGATTAGACTTCTTAACTACTTCCATGTCTGGTAGCAACAGACATATTCACTAAACATTTACCACAACAACTTTAAATTGGCCTGAGGTTTTTAGATTAATTTGCATAATAACCATAATAACCAAATGTGCTATGTTTACAATCTGAGTGCTTCACTGAGTTTTTATAGAATCTTTGTCAGCATTTAACTGTTAACACAGTCCATCATACTGAACTGAATTGGATGGCCAGCAACATAATTAATACCTACCAACATACTTTAGCACAAGGTATGGATAAAGGGGCCATTTTTTCCTATCCTTCTTAATGTGAGTTAAAGGAGAGCTTGGAAAGGTTACTTTTGCAACCACATCTCCCAGAATTCCTCCAGCCAGCATGGCTGTGAAGGCTAAGAGATTCTGGAAGTTAAACTCAAGAAATCCTTTCCAAGTTCTTGGTTACCATTGTTCATATGGAAAAAATTATGGAGATCTATCATAGATATTTTTGGAGTCTTGGGATGACTTAGTGGTTGAAGTGGACCCTTAAGCCTCTAGTCATCTATTCTTACTATAGGTCTATATTACTCAAAATTAGACTTCCAAATTGTTTAAATTAGCAACTTCAAACAAGTCATGCAGAAATTATATGTGTTCAGCATCACAAACTTCTGATAACGTAATTATTCTGGGAGATGAGCTGAAATGAAGTATAACAATGCATTGATATGCAAAACTTTGCTGGTTTAGCATGACTTATATATCAATTTTACTGCAGATGTCTTCTGAATTCTGTAAATATAATTTAACTAACTTGGAGCACATCCTTTAGTTCAGGATGGGCAGCTGTGATAGGCTAGAGAGATACATTATCTCCCTAAGATACCTTAGGGCAGGCATTGGTAAACTTCAGCCCTACAGGTGTTTTGGACTTTAACTCCCACAATTCCTAACATCTGGTAGTTAGGAATTGTGGGAGTTGAAGTCCAAAACACCTGGAGAGGTGAAGTTTGCCCATGCCTGCCTTAGCCTCTGCAATGAACTACCACACACACAAACTCCACTGGAAATAACATTTTTAGCCCAAATATGCTCCTACACTCCATAGGCTAGGTGGAGGCACTTTAGCCATGTTTCTTGGAAGAGTGGGACTCAGAGGAGGTTTTATTTCAAAACAAGGAATGCCCAGAAATCACTTCCAATTTTTTAAAAGGCCTTATTTGGGCCAACATGTGGCAAAAAATCCTCAAATACCTACTATAGAGTATTTGGGAACAAAAGACATTTTTGAAAAACAATTTATGGGAATGGAAATGTTTTGACTTCTGAGGTGACAAATATGATCTTAGGGGCTATATCAGTGGTTCTCAACCTGTGGGTCCCCAGATGTTTTGGCCTTCAACTCCCAATAACTGGTAAACTGGCTGGGATTTCTGGGAATTGTAGGCCAAAACACCTGAGGACTCACAGGTTGAGAAACACTGGGCTATATGCAGTCCTCTGGCCACACTTTGCCCTCCTCTGCTACAGTTCCTCTTCATTATGATTATGTTTCTGATTCTGTTCATAGTAAGTAATATAGAACGCGGCAATGCATTTGTCAGCACATTGTGACTCATTCATAGTTGCTGAATTCTTTAACAAGCCCTTTTGGAATTCCATCATGCATTATTTCCCTTAAATTATTAGTCAAAGAGAGTTTAGCATGCAAGGCAATGTTGATAGTTCAAACCCATGAATAAATTGATACAACAACAGGTCTTGAAGTTCATTAGAGTTCACCATAGAAGCCTGCATCCAGGTTACACCATCTAAACTGAAGGCAGGCCCCCAGTAAATATTGCAAGCAAGAGGTAGCATTTATTTAACCGTCTTGATCCCAAAGCATTTGAATATATAGAGGGGGGGGGAGGTGCCAATAAAAGTAAGCTCCTATTATTATTGTCTGTGTTCTAACACTGATAGTAGGGATGCGCCAAGAGTTCCCCTTGAGGTCCTATTCGCTTGATCATCCTCCTCCTCCTCCATAAGTAACCTGTGCCTTTTTGCTAAGCCTCCACCATCAGAAGCCTCTAATTTAGTATTGCATATATATTACTGACTGTATACTTTTTTCTTTCCTCTAATCTTTTCAGTGAGCATGCCTACCAGTGAGACAGAATCTGTGAACACAGATAATGTAGCTGGAGGTGATATTGAAGGAGAAAACTGTGGTGCACGGCTAGCGTAAGTTCAACCACATTTACCCTATTATCTTGTTCTGTGATTGAGTATAATTGATGTTAGAGTGAGCTTTCTCAGAAGTATCTTTTCTTTCGGAGCATCACAGCAACATTACGAATACATGAGCAAATGACCTCTGTTTGTCTCCACCCAGCTTACCCTTTAACTTTCATTGTCCATATTTATTTTATTTTTTAAATTATGAAAAACCTTGTACTGGAAGTGGGCACCTAGAAATGTTTTGTAAGACAATGATCTCTGCATGTGTCCCTCACATGTTTGGGAATAATAACTTACAATTGCCGTTTTTCCTATAGTTTTTGCACTACGCTTTTGAGATTGAATTAAAGATTTCATCTGTGACAATATGTTTGTAACATTCCTTTTAAACTATTTCTATGGGAAAATTAAGATATCTTCTTCATTAAGTCTTGTATGAACTAAAGATGGCTTTTTGCGAAGACAACTAACTTCTTGTTTTTGAAAAAATATCCAGTTGTATATTTGCCTCTACATTTGATTATTTATATCGTACTAATATTCGTATACCTCCACTAACCCATTTTTAAAAGCCACAGTAACATTAAAAGGAATTAGAAAACCATAGAAGAAAAACCATTGAAATATATCACAGTAAAAACCACTGTAGAAGTGCAGCGCAAGAGATGTGTCTTAATGTTTTTTTCTGAAAGCTGAGAGAGTGAGGGCCTTTCAGGAGTTCATTCCACAGGTCCCTTCCATGCAGCTGAATAAAATCACACATTTTCTGCTTTGAACCAGAATATATGACAGTGTGGACTCAAATAACCCAGATCAGAGCAGATATTATGGGATTTTCCGCCTTGATATTCTAGTTTATATGGCTGTGTGGAAGGGCCCACATTTCATTCTCATTGGAGCAACAAAGAAAACCCATGTGTCTGAAAAACCCGCCCGTATCAGCAACAGATTCCTCAGTAGCACAATTTATGTAAGTCTCAGAAAGGGACAGTCTATCCCTTAGAAATCTAGACAGACACAATATCATCAGCAAGTACAGCAGCATGAAGGAGAAGTCAAACCACCTTCCAAGAAATATCATTGAAAGTTCTTTTCTGTTTTTTGACACATTCTGATTAAAGATCTTAATATATAGAAAATCCTTGCTTCCTAGACACGCCTAGCAATGTTTGGCTTTTTCTAGCAGCCTGGTCCCTTTGGGCTGTCACTTGAATTTGGGGCACAAGAGAGTTCTTTTCCCTTTGAGAGATCCTTAAAACGATTTTCCTCCTGTGAGGAAGAAAGTTTCAATTAAGTTTATGCATGGCTTCAGCCTCATAGATTCTATATTCTAGGAACTGATTCTATAGAATTTCTCATTCTAAAAGGGAGATAAATCTTCTCCATGGAATTGCAAGTATTGAGGCAAATGTTTTAAAGCAATCAATGTTAATATGACTCATTCTTATTTGTCTATTGTGCTTTTAATACAATTTATCAAAAGAAAAAGCTGGCACAGTTCTATCCTGAATGCATATTAGTGTGAAGACCAGAGAGATACCAAGGATAGAGCTGTCACCATAAAACAAAAGTAGAGGTGGTTGTTGGATTTTCCTGGAAAAAATGTTAACATTTTCCAAAGTAGAAGCATAGTGTCACTTTAGATGGTTGTCTAAATAATAATAACTGCTCAGATGCACAACAAACAAACTTCGTTAATTATTAGAAATAAATATTGTAATACACCCAATCTATTTTGAACTGTTATATTTTAATATCAGCAAGACAATAAAAATAATTTTGAAGGAAATCTTCATTTTCTGGTTAGATCAGAAAACTAACCAGATTAATGATGATAATTAAGAATGCATTTTATAAATACGGTTCTTAAATTATTGGTACATAATAATGGCTTATCATTAAGCCGCACACATAGCTTTTAAAAAACTTTCTGAAGACGAGGCTTTTGTAGTGACTGTCAGCAAAGTTATAATCTTCATGTTGCAGAGTATCAAAAGAAAAATAAAATAATGCTGCTGCAGCAGCAGCACAGCCCCGAAGTAATGTGGTCAATGAGAAGCTACATTGTAGCATAAAGTCATCTTACTTTATTGCTGGGACAAAAGCATAATGCAGCTTCAATGCAGGAACAAAATGCAGGAAGAAAAATCACCAGAAAGAGAATACAGGCAGATGCAGAATATATGAACAAAGGAATAAGCTCCATTTGTATCTGATTAGTAAGAGTCAAATTACAAGCATACTAACAGTTAAAGGTACAAGCCTACCAACTAAACATAACTAAGTCATTCTATGAACTATATAATTTTGCAAACATTATAATACTTTCATTAGGACTTGGGGTATTTTCTAGTAAATTTTTATTTATACTCTTACAATGTTTTCCTTTCCCTTTCTTCCCCCTTCTTTTGATCTATATCCATTCAGCAATGCCAAAATACGGATGAATATATTGTTTTTAGATTTTAACTGGCCAGCAACAGGGGGAGTTTTTATGTTTTGGTTTCTACCAATAGTTATAGTTCTGAGTTCTGTGTGTTCAATGTACAAGTTAATATAAAGGATATAAAATGACTCTTACTTGGTCAGACCAAAGGTTTCTTTAGCCCAGCATGCCAATTTCCATAGTAGCTAACATATCCCTCAGAGAAGTCTCCAAATAAGACTTAAAAGCCTATCTGCATCTGGTGAGGACTCACCTTTCCTTTAGACCAGTCGTTCCCAACCTTTTTTTTTTTAACCAGGGAACACTTGATCAGGGACCACTTTGACCAGTGATCAATTGACCAGGAACCATTTTGACCAGGGACCACTCTCCAAAGTTATTTTAGGTCTCACGGCCCACCAGTGGGCTGGGGCCCATGGGTTGGGAACCACAGCTTTAGACAGAGGGAGGCAAACACTACAGATGGAAGATAAGAAATTCTGAAAATTATTTTTACAGATCATGGGTTAATTTTATATTTTCATTGCTCCCTAAGATAGTTAGTTGTCCACAGAGGTTCTGTAGCATTTTTTTTAAAGAAAAAGTAATTAGGCTTTAAACCTTGCGATATTCCCCCCCTCTACTATTTAACCGCATAGTCAAAGCAGTGGTATTCCCCGTAGTAACCTATGGATGTGAGAACTGGACCTTAGGGAAAGCTGAGCGAAGGAAGACAGATGCTTTTGAGCTGTGGTGTTGGAGGAAAGTTCTGAGAGTGCCTTGGACTGCGAGAAGATCCAACCAGTCCATCCTCCAGGAAATAAAGCCCGACTGCTCATTGGAGAGAAGGATAGTAGAGGCAGAGATGAGAAAAAAGGAAATCTTAGAGAAGACAATTATGCTGGGAAAATGGAAGGAAAAAGGAAGTGGGGCCGACCAAGGGCAAGATGGATGGATGGTATCCTTGAAGTGACTGGATTGACTCTGAAGGAGCTGGGGGAGGTGACAGCCGACAGGGAGCTCTGGCATGGGATGGTCCATGAAGTCACGAAGAGTCGGAAGCAACTGAACGAATGAACAACAACAAACTATTTAGCAGGACAAGAAGACAAGAGTGAAACCTTTTTTTATTGATGTTTATCGATTCTAGCTATGGCTCCCATATCAGTGAAGTTAGGAATATGTTAAGGGTTAAACTATAAATGGCCCAAATAGGTTCAGCATCTTGGAGAGTCCTACTAAAGAGCTAATTAAAACCTGTTCCACTGACACAGGAACTACCACTCACCAATTATTATACTTCTCTTCTGCTTTTCTTCTTTCCCACCTTCTCAACACATATGAACGTATCATTTGCAACGTTCAATAGATTTATTCAAAGGCTTAAATTATAACTCTAATAGAACCATTTAATAAATTGGATTTCCCTGTGTGTTTACTTAGGATTCAACAGTAGATTGAGTGTGTCTCCTCTTTTTGGGACCAACCAAAAGAAATCCAGCCAGTATATGATAGAATTAACTGAACTGCACTAAAGTGCTGTAAAATATATTGTGTAGTTAATTACTGAACTGCTAACTTATTTCATTTAATTTGTTCTAAGGCACTTTCGGGTTGAAGAGAAGGACATTTTCTCCCTAATATTAAATGAAACAATTAATCCAATTGTTTCTACCCCTAATATATATATTTTATTTCATAATCTTCAGTGGATTGATTTGGAGGATGACATGAAATGGCAAATTGAATTAATGTATTTATAATTGTTTTTAATATAGGTTAAGTGTATGTTACGTTGTGTATTGTTTGCCACCGAATGGTGCCTGCTGGTAGCCGTCCTGAGTTGAGTCCCTCTTTGGAGGCGAGAAGGACAGGATAGAAAACTCTTAATAAGTAATATAAATAAATTCTTTGCAGATCATAATTTCATTTTTACAGATATTTACTGTAGTAGGAACAGACTGTCACATATTCATAGCTGATATCAATGGCTATTTTAGTATTATATTACAAATGTAATTTAGACAGTTTGTTACTTCATCATATTAGTCATCTTTAGAGCTCTAATATAATAATAATAATAATAATAATAATAATAATAATAATAATAATAATTTTATTTATATTTTGCTCTATCTCCCCAAAGGGACTCAGGGCGGATCTATAGAAAATGTGAGATATAAATATTTTTAAATGATATATTGCTATCTGTATTCACATCACACGACTTGTCCATGTCTCATGGAAGATGCATTTTGGATGTGTATGAATATTGATCTGCTTCTTGAATCAATTTTGAAATGCAGGCTAGTTACCTGAAACTGTCATCAACCAAAGGACTTGCACCTGAAAAGGCAGACAAAGATAGTAACCCCATGCAAGCTAGTTGTTCTACATGGCCAGTTAGTTGGACATAGGCAGGAAATATTTATAAGCAGTTTTCTAGTGTTTATTGTTAAAACTTTACAAAGCTGAATCTATACAAGTCAAAAAGAATCTTCAATGGTTATTGGGTACACTTTTTTGAAAGCATGTGACAATTTTTACAGTAAATTGTCATGGTGGGGATCACATATCTATCTATCTGAACTCCTTTATTTACAAACCCAGGGTTAAGTCCTAAACAATTTTTTTACACTAGATTTTAGTAAATGTATGATCCACAAACTAATTATGCCACATTAAATTATGTGGTTTGCTGTATTCTACAGGAACTATATGTGCAGCCTTTATGAGATAACCAGCACTTGCACAGGTCCTCTCACTGTGTAAATCTCAATCTCCCTCCTCCTCCTCCACCTTTCCCACTTACGGTTTTCATTTTGTATTTATTGTTTTTAAGTTAATGGGTATTGAAGTAATGTCTTCTCTCTTTCAGGCACCGGATATCGAAATCTAAGTTTAGGTAAGCATTATAACTTTAGAATAAAGAGTTGAATAATAGAGTTGGAAGAGACCACATGGGCTATCTAGTCCAACCCACGGCCATGCAGGATAAGCACAATCAAAGCACCCCAGACAGATGGTCATCCAGCCTCTGTTTAAAAGTCTCCAAAGAAGGAGCCTCCACCACACTTCAGGACAGAGATTTCCACTGCTGAATAGCTCTCACAGTTAGGAAGTTCTTCCTAATGTTCAGGTGGCATCTTCTTTCCTGTAATTTGAACCCATTGTTCCGAGTTCTAGTTTCCAGGATAGCAGAAAACAAGCCTGCTCCCTCCTCCTTATGACATCCTTTCACATATTTGTACATGGTTTGAACCAAAATACATCCATAGTCTTCTTGTTGTAGCTTCCCATTGTTGTAATTGGAAAATGATTATGATTTATTTACCTAAAAGCAAAAGGCCCGAAACAATTTGAGCCCTCAAATGAAGACTCAAGTCTCTTAGATCTCAAGCTGTATTGTGGTATGACCAGGGTCAGCGTATCCTATAATGACAAGACACACTAAAATGACTAGAACATATGTGTGTTTTAGATGCTTCAATTACACCCTGTTCCCTTTGGCTTTTTTACTGCAACATTTCTGGTGATGGCCCCTTTTTAAAATGTGTGTGGTAGGTAGGTGTAATAGGTGTGTCCAAGTGTACTCTCACCTTAAGATTTAACTTGGTCAGTAGAGGAAACGCTGAAGGCCATTTACTTGTCAGATAATAAGTTGCTATAAGATTGCACAACCAAACATTATTTTACTGCTTTCTGTGCTTTGTACTTCCCAGTGAACAAAGATTGAGAGAGACAAGAATATCCAAAACAGTTGTGCATCTCACTTGGCACACAAATCTTACCAAAAATGGAAGAAGAATAAAGACACATCCCAAACCCATTAACTTTATTATCTAGGAATAAATGTTTCGTGGAAACTGGTTGCTAAGCAAGCTACATTCTGAAGGGTTGGAAATGTGTAATTAGCTTTAAATACTCTGTGTGGTTAGTAATTACCCTCAGTAATCACTATGACACTTGTGAGGGGCTGTATGTTCCAGGAAAGCACATCTTAGTGTGATATTTTCTTTCCCCTCTATCTCAACAAATATTACGTGTAGCTCAGAGTTCGAGAAAGAAAACTCTTAACATTCCCACTATAGTTGCTTGAGCCTCAAATATTTGTCCACCCCTTAAATTCTGATTTAGTTCGATTACGTTATAAGAACCAAAAAACCAATTTATAAGAACCAAAAAGGCCAATTTATTTGACTTCTGTGGGCAATAATAATATCCCCTGTTATTCAGTAATTCAAAGATAACTATTTGGAGAATAGTGAAAAGCCAAGAGAAAATCTGTAGTTGATGAAAGGTAGGAATGTAGCGTCATACCCACTGTCATTGGTTTCCTATTTTTGACCATAAAAGTCCATCTACATTGCATGAAAAAGACAGCCTGAAAATATTAATATTAGAATCAGAAGTTGTTTTTTCCTAACACCCCTATTAAGAAATATACAGGAATACTGCTTTGTTGCATTAGCTCTGCAGAAGTCCAAGCTGTAAGCTTTGCTGTTTAAATAAATAAGTACTAGTATGTATGAGTTTTTAGATACTCCTAGTGTTAATAAATTAAAGTGTTCATGTTATCGAAGAAGGTGTCTTTGATTTTTTTTTTCAGTTGCCAAACCCATTTTGCAACACAAATGAAGATAAAAGATTATGAGAAGAAGAAAGACAGAGAATTTTGGCAAAGGCTGTACAGCAGTGGTTCTCAATCTGGGTTCCCCAGATGTTTTTGGCCTTCAACTCCCAGAAATCCTAACAGCTGGTAAACTGGCTGGGATTTCTGGGAGTTGTAGGCCAGAAACATCTGGGGATCCCAGGTTGGGAACTACTGCTGTACAGTGATGCATTGTGGCTGACCATGAGTCTAGGAACACTATACCATGTCAGTGCATCATGATAGGGGTGGGTCAAAATCGTAGTCTACCTAATTTCATCTGCTACCCATAACTAAGAGAGATTAGTATAACTTTATCAGACTATTGGACAGCTACACTGAATTAAAGTGTCTTCTTTTGTCTTTCTTCACATGTTTAGATAAATTTGAATATACATGTATAGGAAGTGTATCCAGTTCCACTAACTTAAAATAAATTGTTGGGGTCACAAGTCACATCTGAGGGTTTTGGACTATGCAGGGTTTTGGGCTTCCTTCTACTTAACTTAATTCCATATTAAGACTATTGGAACACGGAATAATGGATAACGAGATTGGATACTGATTCTAGTGATGAGACCTGATGGATTTGCGATACTGATGTAATTTTGTATTGATGCTTTGTTTTTTATTGTGATACTGTTGTTTAAATGCTTATTAACTGTACTATATATATTGTTCAATTGTTGTAAACCGCTCCGAGTCGCCTAAGGGCTGAGAGGAGCGGTATACAAGCGAAGTAAATAAAAAATAAATAAATTACCGCTGTGGATTTTCCTATTCTTCCTTTTTTTTTTCAGCCGCTACTGGCGCAGATGGAATCGGTTCTGCAGACGGAAATGTCGAGCTGCTGTGAAATCCAGTGTGTTCTACTGGCTTGTGATCTTCCTTGTTTTTCTCAATACCCTCACCATTGCCTCTGAACATTACAACCAACCAGACTGGCTCACTGAAGTCCAAGGTAAGATGAAGCAGAAATTCTATTTCCTTTTGTTTATTTTTGTCACCAAGTGGGGGCAGACATTTGCAATTAACTACAGTTATCTTTGCAAACTGAGAGTATATAAAGAAAAATCATTTGAGAGCATATATACTATAAATAATGAATTACAGAATGGGAAATACTTTTTATACTATTTTATAGGGAATTCACTTAGATCAGTGTGTGTGTATGCACTATACAATTATTGTACCGTTTTCAGTTGTTAAAAAAGAGAGAATACTATGCGATCTCAGAACACCCAGTATGTTCTTTTTAATCCTGTATAGTCTGCTAGTATGGAAAGGGCAAATATGAATACTGAGAACTCGATATTGTCAATTCCATATTCCAACTGTATAGAGGGTTATGTAATGAGCAGCTTTGGTTTTTGTTTATTGGTTTCTTAGAATCTAGAGTTGGAAGGGGCCTCAGGGGCCATCAAATCAATGCTCTCTCTCTCTCTGTTACTGTAAGTGTAGACTACAATTATGCATGTGTGGGATGTAGAATAAAAATGACCAAATACTTGAAACTGGAAAATCTGGTTTCGGCTAACCAGGTATGATGTTATTCCTTCATATATCCATCATGGCTAGAGAAATTCCATTATTTTCCATGCCTTAGTATATTAACAATATTGATAAGATAACAATATTGATATCTGGCAGAGTGGCACATTCCTGTGTTTTAGATACTTTCTTTTAAGGAAACCAGACATTAATCTAAGAGATAAAACAGAGCCCTCCATATAAGCAATTGCCTGGCTAGAAAGCAGCATGTGCCTTTTTGCTCTTAATCAAACTAACTGTCCTTGGATTAGGAGTGGTATAAATACTCGTATATAAGCTGAGGACAGATTGGGGGCTAAAATTTTGAGTTTTAATATGACCCATGGATAAGGTGAGGTTCATTTTGGAGAAATCACCAGTGTTTGATCAGTTTTCTCAGAAGTGGCGCCATAGTGGAGAGGGAAACAAAAGAGTCAATGCTCTCACTCCTCTCCTCCAGGAACATGATGGTACCCTTTTTGATAAATTAAGGTATAGTTCAGGTATAGTATTTTCACTGATCTGTGAATAAGTTAACTCTGTTTTAGGGCTGGTGTTTAACATCATTAGACATACATGAATATATACAGTACTTTAAAAACAGCATGAAAAGTGATATAAATGGTTTCAGGTGGAAAATTAGCACACAGTTATACTTCTGCTCTCATAGATTACACAGGATTGTAAGTATGAGGTATTCTTCATTAACCTGAAATGTCTCTCCACCTCCATGATCAGAAAATAACAGAGTTAAAGAGCAGCTGTGAGCTGTGCATTTCTCCTAATCTAGAATACACAGGATTTCGATAATCAAGAAGACCCAGAATGGGAGCCAAATGAAATCTCTGAACTACTATTTCACATTTATTTGTGTGCCAAAGAACCCCACAAAATGGTTGAAGACTGCAATGTAGCCTAATTCAACATCTATTTAATATTCTTAATACTGTTCCTACAGTCTTTCAGTTGCAGTAGTATTTCAGTGCCATTATAATAATCATTATTTTTCTCTTTCTTTTTATAAGATACTGCCAATAAGGTACTGCTGGCTCTTTTCACGGCTGAGATGCTGCTAAAGATGTACAGCCTGGGTCTTCAGGCATACTTTGTGTCACTCTTCAACCGCTTTGACTGTTTCATTGTCTGTGGTGGTATCCTGGAGACCATATTGGTGGAAACAAAGATTATGTCACCCCTGGGTATCTCGGTGCTGAGATGTGTGCGATTACTGAGGATCTTTAAAATCACAAGGTATTATTTTCTTCTTACTTTTACTTACTGGAGTTGGGGTGAGGAAGAGAGTTTACTTGTTCAAATCCATTGGTCTGACCTGAACAAAGCACTTTCTTGTTCACAAGAAATATAGCAGCCTCATAATATAAGTTCTTTCATGGTAACTTATACATAATTGAAACACAATCTATACTACAAAACTACACCGCTGTTAAAATTAGATTAGAAATGGAAAGGCTCAAGCTTTTTATATGAATTAAGTATATCTGAATTAATACAGAAACAGGAAATAGCTTCCCCATTGGGTGTTACGTGATCACACATTAGTGTGGGGTGACATAGTTTCCAACATTCTTTCCTCACTATCACAACTGACAGAATGGACAGTTGTGTTAACAAAGATAGATATAATTGAAAAAGGAACTGCTTGTGGCTCATAATGAAGAAACAGAGAAGGCAGGGGTGGTGAAAAATCTTTCTAACATGTTTTGAAGCCCAGATGGCTGAGCCTTAACACCACCAAAGCAATAACACATGGTAGAGATGGAGCCCAGTTGTTTCTGGGTCTGTCAAGCAAAAGCCTATTAGCTCTGGTTTTCATTATGATTTACCATCTGGCTTCTTGGAATTGCCTGTATGTACTTGCTACAAACAAAAGGGAATCTTGCAGGTTTCCAATCACTGCATTATCTTTTATTATTGGCAACTAGTGCGTGTCCATAAAGGCCCATCGTATTTTTTATTATTACATTTTTCTTCATTATATCCACACTGTAGATTTCAATTGCAAAAACAAAAGAGAGTCCTTTAGCTCCTTAGGAACTATACATTTATTATATCATCAGTGTTAATTGAAGAGTTACATCAGATGAATTAAGGGGTTTTTTTCTCGGTCAGAATATGTGACTCTAGAGGAGAACCAAGTAAATTATGGGGTCCGATGCCATGAAATATTGAATGTATAGTATGTAAAAATTCAGTTAAAATTTGAATAAGCATAAAGACTATTGCTATAGCAGTATTTAGTGAACACACAAGATATTACCTTGTGTTATGCACTATCACACTGTCCTACCCCAGTGCTGAAATTAACTAGCCTGCAAAGCAGTCCTATGCAGATATACTGAGAAGTAAGTTCTATGTGATTTACTGCTATGAAAGTATAACAAGAATGGAAAGTACGTTTCTTCCTCCTCACACATTTCTTTCTTTCATCCTCTATGTGTGCCTCTTCAAAACCCATAGCACTGTTAGTAACAGCTGACCTCCAGTTAGAACGCTCAGAGGCCAGTACTTCACAGTTATCTGTGTTTATGTCACATTTTTAAGGTTAGCTTTAAGTCCATCTTTAAATCTCTTTTGCTGTTCACCAGCATTCTATTTTTCATTCTTGAGCTGAGAGTAAAATAACTGCTTTGGAAGATGGTGATCGGGCATTCAGACAACGTGGCCCCTCGAGTGAAGTAGATGGTGGAGGATCATCTCTTCAGTGTTGGTGGTCTTTGCTTCTTCCAGAATGCTGACATTTGTCCACCTGTCTTCCTATGAGATTTGCAGGATTTTTCGGAGGCAGTGCTGAAGGAAACTTTCCAGAAGTCGACAATTATGTTTGTAGATGGTCCATGTTTCGCAGGCGTATTGCTGTGATGAATGCATGGTACACTCTACAAGTTCTGATAACAAAACATCAAAAGAAATAATATTTGAAGAACATATCAGAGATCTCTAGCTTGAACTCAAGTCTCAATGCCAACTGGAGTAAGGTCTAGTAATCAATTGTGTCTCAGTATCAGAATACAGCTCACAGTCACAGCTTCTAAATTGTCTGTGTGGGAGAGAGAGACTTAGTTGGAAGTCAGAAACCTTATAAAACTACGACATGACACAAAGATCTACTAAGTTGACCCAAATCTACCTTTCGTTCATTTCTATATAAGACAGTTTCAAAGAAATGTTTTATACAAGCACAAAACTAGGGCTGGTCTAAAACATCTACCACAATTTTGTAGCTCTTTATGCATGCTGTGAATATCCAGGGAAGCTCTTTGATCACAGGTAAAGCTTACTACACAGAAATGAGAAAGAACGGCAAATATCTCTATACTGATGGCAGGAAGGCAACACTTGTCCTCAAGATATTTCTTATTAGAATGCGGGATGTATTATCCACCTACCTATGAAATTTTCTGTCTTTACAGCAGGACTCAGATGGGAATGACTGCTATACTCCCTGTCTTGTATTTTTCTGTAAGCCACCTATGCAGCTTGAAGATAAGAGGCCCATGCATTAATTAAGTTGGTAACATTCCCATCTCCCTTAGTGACTCAAAAGCCACTGTGTGGAAATTATTGAGATTAATATGAAATGTGCAGATCTTGCAAAGGAAATAGAATTGGCTTCCCTTTTAGAACCTGAAGTAATATTAAGAGGTATTTTTATTTATTTACTAACTTTATTTGTACCCCGCTACCATCTCCCCAAGGGACTCGGTGCGGCTTACATGAGGCCGAGCCCAAACACAACAACAAAAGCAATAAAACATCAATACAAGCAATTAAAAAACATAGACAATAAAATACACAACATTATCAAAAAAAGCAACACATAGTTAAAACAGTGGGAAGGCCAAATGTAGAGTTAAAATTGGAAACCAATGTTTATGTATCTCTTAAGCACTGAAATGTAATTGATTTGACAACTAATATTTTTTATTTATTTCCCACCTCTCCTTCCGGCTTGAGGCAGGGTAGAACATAATTAAAACAGCCGATTAAAACAAAACATTATTAAAATACATATAACAAATAAACACAGGTAAAGTGCAAATAAACACAGGTAAAATACAGGATAAAATTGACTGGGTAGGCCTGCCAGAAGAGATAGGTCTTAAGTTTTGTCTTAAATTCTGACAGCTGATTTAGCTGCCAGAACACTTCTGGTAGGTCATTCCACAGTCTTGGGCCACAAATGAAAAGGCCCTCTGAGTAGCAGTTGCCAGTCGGGTTCTGGCAGGCTGGAATAGCTGTTTCCCAGAAAACCTAAGTGTGCAGGGCAGATTATATGGGAGAAGCCAATCCTGGGTGTCTTTACAGCAGCTTGTAGCACAGATGGGAATGTCTGCTATACTCCCTGTCTTGTGTTTTTCTGTAAGCCACCTATGCAGCTTGAAGATAAGAGGCCTGTGCATTCATTAAGTTAGCAACATTCCCATCTCCCTTAGTGACCTAAAAGCCTCTGCGTGGAAATTATTGAGAAGATCAATATGAAATGTGCAGATCTTGCAAAGGAAGTAAAATTGGCTTCTCTTTTAGAACCTGAAGTAATATTAAGAGTTACCAATGTTTATGTCTCTCTTAAGCACTGAAATGTATTTGATTAATTAAGTTGGTAATACTCCTGGATGTTCCTGTAACTAGTCTGGCTTCCATGTTTTGAACCAATTGGAGTTTCCAAACTTCGTACAGAGGTAGTCTTATGTAAAGTGCATTGAAGAAGTGAGATTACCAGTGTATGCACTACCATATTTAAGTCCTCCAGTTCTAGGAAGGGGTGCAGCTGGCGTATCATCTGAAGCTGGTGGTAAGCACTCCTGACTATCTACCTGGGCAGTCATTTGGAGAGACGGGTCCAGGAGTACTCCCAAGCTGCAAAAACAGTCTTCCAGGGAAGTGTAACCACATCCCAAACTGGTTGACTCACCTCCACCCCCAGGTTAGGATCCTTGATGGCAAGCACCTTTGGCTTATCTAGATTCAGTTTCAATTTGTTTTTCTTTATCCAGCCCATTACCTCCTCAGTAACATCAGCTATCCCCAAGCACCACCATCTGGAATCTGTCTGAGAGATCTGATCAGAACCACTATAACATAGTGCCTCTGATTCCCAACCTCCCCCCGATTCCCAGGCATTCCAAAAGGATACCATGGAGAATGGTATCAAAAGCTGCTGAGAGATCTAGAAGCACCAACAGGGACACACACCCCTTGTCAGTGTTAAGTCTGAGATCATCTGGTATGAACTCTACAGGCAGGTCAAAATATCCCTGTTTTGCTGCTTTTATCCATGGCTTGGACAGGGCCTACCAAGCACCATCAGATGATGCATGACAGGCCCTGCCCACATTCCTCTCACAGTGGAGGGGAAGTGCCAGAAGGCACTTCCTTCTCCACCAAGGGAAGTGTTTTTCAGGTAACTCCAACAGAACTACCTGCACTTTCCTTCCCTTTTCCCCATATGATGGGGGTAAGGGTAGTGAGGTGACATGTGTTGCTGCTCTATCTCCCATCTTATGAGGGAAGAAGAGGGGTGTGCGGGGTGCCACAAGGCACCCCCACATGCCTTAACAAAGACTGCCACTGCAATGGCACAGCCCATTTAGGCCATGTGAAGAGGTCCCTAGTACACACATATCATACATTAGTACACACTCATTTTCCCAATATAAACTTCATTATGAAATTCACTGACACCAAGTAATGGCTGTAAACTGTACTTATGAATCTTGTTTGTCAAAAGAAGCCATATTCTGGGTCCACCAGCAGTCTTGGCAGTGCTTAGCAGCAGATGATTAACAAAGCAACTTTCCCCTTGATTCTAGTTTAGGAACACTCTCTTGGTATAGGAACTCTCTCCCATGGTTTAGGCACCAGACTAAATTTTTCTTTCAGAAGGATTTTAATGAACCCTCAGTGGTAAATATTTAACTGTTTTTTTTAAATGTTTGTTTTTATTGCAGTGTTTTAAACTATTGTAAGGGAAGACCTGTTTGACTTGCTTTCTCCTCTTTTTGACTTGCTTTCTCCTCTTGCAAACTTTAATTAAAAGATGGAATAAAAAACTGATATGGGTTTAAAAGTTTGAAGGTGTTTGAAGGTGTAAACATTATTATGGTGAATTTGAATAAAGCCTTGTGATTCTAAACAAATAGCTAGAAAGCAAGGACCCTGACCCTCTCAATCAGGGAATGGGTACACAACCAAAATTTAAGCCAACATGCCATAAATTCCAGATTGTTCTCCCATCTGTTCTTGTTGGTTATCAAAGAGCCTTTCTCAGGGGTGAGGTATTCTGGCTTGCTTTGAACAGTGAGTATTGTAATAGGTTGGCTAGAACATAACTCACTGAAGCAGCAAGTAGTAATCACTGCATTTTAAGCGGTTTTCTCCCTCAATAGGCTTCCAGATGTGTATGGAGGGGAAATATTTTGTATTATACAATGTGGTCATAAAAATTAACTTCCATGGGTCCTATTATCTTCTGGAAGCATGTAGATGATTTATTTATTGACAGGCTGTTATGAAAAAGTACTGTTATGAAAAAGCGCATAGCCTGGCAGTGATATCTGATGTAGAAAAGAAGCACATGCTTTAGACAGAATGAATTCAATTCTCTCTCTTTTTGGCTCCCCAGATACTGGAATTCCTTGAGTAACTTGGTGGCTTCCCTACTCAACTCTGTGCGTTCCATTGCCTCCCTCCTCCTGCTCCTCTTCCTCTTCATCATCATCTTCTCCCTTCTAGGGATGCAGCTCTTTGGGGGCAAATTTAATTTTGATGAGATGCAAACCAGGAGAAGCACATTTGATAACTTTCCCCAGTCTCTGCTCACTGTGTTTCAGGTATGACATTCTTGGGTCTCATTTTATTTGAAAGAATCTAGATTCAACAACAGTGCAACATAGGCCATAAAGGTGTTATGTCAACTGAATGCAGCTGTAGATAATTACCTCCCTCAAGATTTCCTTCCCCAAAACAGAGAGAAACTAAAGTGATTCTCTTCATGGAGAGAGTTCTCATAAGAAAGGAGCCACTTTTGTGAAGAGTATACTCTGTAACCAAATGTACTTGCTTTGCTTTTGCAATTGTGCATTTAGCAAGGCCTACCATGGAAGAAAGCTCATAGAGGAGGGAACACCTTTAGGCTGGTCATACTGGAATACAGCTTTAGATCAAAGAGACCTCAGTCTTCATTTGAGAGCTCAAATTTTCTCAGAGGAGGGTAGCAGGAGAAAGTAGAAACAGATCTTTTTGTGCAGAAATAGGACCTTGAAATTATAAATGAGGTTGTACAGTCCTATCTGGTAGTCCATGGCAAATGCAAGGGCATTTAGCCACCCGTATCTTGCAGTGTCAATAGAGGCTACAACATATGCCTTATTACCTCAGAGTTTCTCCAAGACAGAAAAGATGTTGCTCTTTATTGTAATATACTTTCCTTGCAAGTTTTGTGCATGCTATCTAACACTGTGTGTCCCCTCCTTATTGGTGGGAATGTGTCATTTAGATCCTGACTGGGGAGGACTGGAATTCGGTGATGTATGATGGGATCATGGCTTATGGCGGCCCCTCTTTTCCAGGAATGTTGGTCTGTATTTACTTCATCATCCTCTTCATTTGTGGAAACTGTATCCTTTCCTGTTATCTTTGTGTTCTTTGGTCATTTGAAAGGACTGTGTAGATGAGAGAAAATAAATTGCCAAAGTGAAATTTTGTAACTGAGCATGCAAGCTGGAACTATCTGACCCCTCATGCTTTTCCTTTTCTCTTTCACCAGCTCCTTGATCATATATTTGTTCCTTGGGTGGGGGTTAGCAAGTAAGAATAGCAGAGAGAAATTTTAGCAGCCAACACCCTGTATTCTCACCAGTCTTTTCTACCTAGTTGCTAGTGGGGAATGGGTGTGAATAGGACCCAGTTTCTGACATGAATCAGAGAGAAAAAGTAAGATGAATATTTGGGGGGGGGGGGTGGAATTACACTTTAAAATGTACCTATTCTGACTTACAAACAAATTTAACTTAAGAACAAACATACAGAAGCTATCTTCTTTGTAACTTGAGGGCTACTTGTATATTAGCTTTGGATTGCATAGGGAAGGGTTAACACACCCCTGTGGTATTTCCTTTGCTGTCTGTGCCCCTGTTCAGAAGATTTCCCTCACTTTCTATCCTTGTGATAGTTGGATTTTGAGAAACATGGCTTGTTGTGGAAACAGGGATTGGTGATAAAGCTTCAGGTGAGTCACTTTTTCCCTGTGATGACTCTTTTAGGAGTGCATTTCCCTTCAGCTATTTGTAACTTAGGGACTGCCTGTACATTAATCAAAACTGTTGTGACTATTATTTTTGGTGACACAGGACAGGAGATCCATGTATTTGTGTCTTTGATATGCCATTAATTCAATATTAATATCTCACTTTCTCAGCCATTGAAAATGGCAAGTCATACAGTACTAAAATAGATAAAAACAACCACATCGAGCAACAAAATATAATTCAAAATGATACTCAAAATTCAGTAAGATGGTCAAATCCAAATATTAACAAAGATATCCCCTAATAGGATATCTGTGTAAAGGTGAAATTTTGCTTAAGGCCTGCAGAGATGCCACAAAATTGATACTTTTATTTTACTTAAAGACTACTTTAAGTAAAATAATACATAATGATAAGGACAGATCGAAGGCTTTGCTCCATCCCTTTAGCAAATTTTACATGAGAAAATGCTAGGTAAGGTTTCCTCAGGACATTTTATTGGGTGGTGAGGCTGAAAGCCATTCTGATTAACATTGCCTAATACTATTTAAGTCCCACACCAGAGAGTGTTCTGTCATGCTATTTGATACATTTTCCTTAAATATGCAAACAGATATTTTGCTGAATGTCTTTTTGGCCATTGCTGTGGACAATCTTGCTGATGCTGAAAGCTTAACATCTGCTCAAAAAGAAGAAGAAGAGGAAAAGGAAAGAAAAAAATTAGCTAGGTAAATATTTTCTTTATAATTTGTTTTAAAGCATGACTCATTGATGCTGGGAAAAATAGAAGACAATAGGAAATAAGTAAGGTAGATTGTTCATGGCCTTGAATTTCAAAGACCTGAGCATGAATGATAGTAACATGATCTTCTGAAGGTTCTCATTCATATGAACCTCAAAAGTTGGGAGCAACTATGGCAACACATAATAATGCCATTAAAACATGTTTCCACTGTGGTTCTACAGAGTAAATGTATGTCCAAACAGCATGTTCAATAAAGTAAAGACATGACAAAATAACCTGAGTTTTCTGTTCTAGCTCTGTATTAGGATCATAGTAAGTGTTACAAGAAAAAGCAGGTGTCCTCTGTTCATACCAGGTGTCAGGAATACTTTTTGAACCTTAGAAATGTTATTTAATCCCTTTTCAGTGGGACAGAGTACATCAGGCGCTTTCAGAGAAATAAGTAGACACAGAGACTCCAGTATTTGGTTTTATAATACCTATATTGGTTACACAGATAAAGCGGAAACATCACATTTACTCAGCATTCACTCACATACATTTAACATTCATACTCACCATCCGTTCCCCAGTCAGGCCTGCTGCTGGAAAAGAGAGGCGGATGTACAGAACTATATTTCTCACAGATCTTGTTTAGATAATCTTTGTCATTCAGCTCAGACCTGCTGAAGCTTCATCAATTCCAGAACATATAGGTTGTTTAACTTCTTTAACTTACAGGGCTATTGTTTTTGACTATGTAGAGATGTGGTGTTTGCAAAAGAGTTCTCAGTTCAGCAGTTCTTAACAGCACCTTTCTTGCCAAAGTTCATCAAGTTCTTCACCTCCTTTGTTCTCCTTAATGCAGTTTTCCAGGTCCTTCAGCCTTGACAGACTAAAGTCATTAAATCCACTTATGACATTCCCCCTCTTGCATATTGATTTCATTTATAAATAAGTTATGCAAATATTGTAAAGTATCTTCTAATGTCATTTATATAAATATCAGTTTCTTAAGCAAAAATACATTTCCACAAGACCATGATAAGTAACAAAATCATAATCACTACAATTGAATGAATCATTACAAGCTAGCCATTCAGACAAAAAAGTACGGAATAATGCTTGTTCATAGTAACTCATGGAGCCCTCTGTGGCACAGTGGGTTAAACCCTTGTGCCAGCAGTTCGAATCTGAGGAGAGTGGATTGAGCTCCCTCTGTCAGCTCCAGCTCCCCATGCGGGGACATGAGAGAAGCCTCCCACAAGGATAGTAAAACATCAAACATTCAGGTGTTCCCTTGCAGACGGCCAATTCTCTCACATCAGAAGTGACTTGCAGTTCTACAAGTRGCTCCTGACGTGAAAAAAATATAATRATTCATATGACTAGCATTGTGTGTGTGTCATAAACAAGCAGACACATTAGGGACCAGAATTTCTCGTGGCTTGACCGTGAAGAGCAGAAGGGCTGGAAAACTTATTATTATTATTATTATTATTATTATTATTATTATTATTATTATTATTGGAGAAACAACTTTTATTCTAAAATGATATTTACTGAAATTCTCCTGAACTTTATCAGCCAGCAAACCATTTATTTCTATTTTTCCCTGTTAGTGTTTATARGTAGCATCATTATGTAGCCATTTGAGTAGTCTGAACTAGGATTGGGGACATTTGGCTTAGAACTTAAAATAATTTAAGGGGGGGYGACTTTTTTCCTCATTTTCTAAAGAGATCTGATTCTCTAGAGAGTTCTGAAAATCTCTCTAGAGAATCAGGGGKTCTGCCGAGCTGCAAATCTTTCTTTTTAATGTGTTGTTATTGTCAGTTCCTGTGAGAAGGCATTCTTCTAAGCACACTCCCATGCAGATGTAGTAGACATAGATCCATTGGCATTTGTAAGGTGAGCAGATTTTTTAAAAGATGGAACCCGTGGGCTTTTTATATGATGGCCAATTGGAAGCTTATGTAATGGAAAACACTGTTCTGTATGTCATGACACATACATTTTTTTTGTTTTTTGCTGAATTGTTAGGACTGCTAGTCCTGAAAAGAAGCAAGAGCCCGAGAAGCTGGCTGTGGAGAGAGAGACAAAGGAGGAGAAAATAGAGCTGAAATCAATCACTGCTGATGGAGAGTCTCCGCCTTCTAACAAGGTTTGCTGCTTGCTACCACACAGCTTGCTCTGATCATCTTTATGAATGAATGAATGAGTAACATATGCTCCCTTATGCTTCCTCCCTTCTTTCTGCCAGAGCAATATAGATGAATATCAGCCTAATGAAAATGAAGAAAAGAATCCCTATCCTACTACAGAAGCACCAGGTAATTAGCTGCCCTACTGACACAGTCTTTTCCCATAGCACAGGAAGCTGAAGCTCAAATGCCTAAGGCAGTTACAGTTGGATCACAGAGATACACATCACCTAATGAAAGGTCACTAGCTAGTATTATTACTCTTGATAGAGTGGAATGATTTCTTTAGCTATTCTGCAAATGTTTTTAGCAGTTTCTCAGCTGTTGTAGTTTTTAACGTTAGAAAAATATGTGTATTTTATCATGCTTTATTTTATACATAGTCTGATCAGACACAGGTCTGCAGTTTGGGAGTCCTCCTGGACTAGGCACTGAACCTGGAAGCCCAGGTGTTGGTGACTAGGAGGGCGTTTGCACAATTAAAACTTGTGTCCTTGAGAAACCAGATCTGGTCATAGTGGTACATGCCTTAGTTACATCCTGTCTGGATTACTGTAATATGCTCTACGTGGGGCTGCCTCTGAAGAACGTTTGGAAACTTCAGATGGTCCAAAGAGCTGCAGCCAGGTTGCTCACTGCGGCTGGCTACAGAGAGCGGACAACCCCCCCCCCCCCAGTCTGTTTCCGGGTACAATTCAAAGTACCTTTGGTTCAGGTCCAGGCTAACATCCTGCCCAGGGAAGCCAGAACAGTCCCCTCCCTGCTGTCCTTCCTGCAACAGGCTAAAACCTTTTGATTAAGACAAGCTTTTAAAGATGAAGGTGTTTAAGAGCAATTCAGAGAATGCTGTGGTTTTTAGCCTTGAATATGTTTTAATGATTTTAACTGGGATTTTTAAATACTGTTTATATTTAATCCTGTTTTAATGTTTGCATATTTGTATATATTAAATTGTATGCTGATGCTTTTGGTTTAAGATGCTTTGAGTCTCCTGCAGGAGAGATGAAGCAAGGTATAAATAATAATAATAATAATAATAATAATAATAGCATGACAAAATGAATCATATGAATTATTATTATTATTATTATTATTATTATTATTATTATTATTATTGAGCAAGCATGCTCCCCTGAGGCAGGCTGTTCTGTTTTGCCATCTGCTTCTCTTTCCCTGGAACTCAACAAAAAAGCTCCTGTTTTATAGCAGATTTCCTATGAAGCAGGTGATATGGTAGTCCTTTGTGATATTGTCATTTTTTTTCTAAGGAGAAGGCAATGATTTACAGTATCATATGCTGCTAACAGGTCTATGAAGACATCTCCTGTAATCTGCTCCCTTTCAAAACTATCTTGTATATGCTGAGTCAGGTTCAGCACTTGTGATGTGCAGCTTTTGCCTTTCCTGAAACCAACTTGCTGTGGAATCATACATGGGTCTATTTTGTCCCACAATTCTATACAAAATAAGTCTCTCCAGAACTTTGCAGAGACAAGGAGATTGGTCTATAATTTTTTGGATCACTGCGGTCTTTGCCTGATTTCTAAATGGCTATGATTCTTACTTTCCTCCAGATTTTAGGGATCTCACAGGATGCAGTGCAGTTGTTCATCAGCTTCCACAGCCACCACCTTGCTTTTGGGCCAAAGTTCTTAATTTGTTTCATCCATAGATCATCCAGGCCAGATGCTTTGCCATTTTTACATTTATTGAGAGCTGTCTCCAATTTGGTAGATGTAAAAGGCTCATGAAGGTTGTTTTTCTAATTTTCTAGTTGTCTGACCATTGGTTTTCTTCCTAGTTTGGCGGCAAGGTTGGGTTTCCCATTCTCCAGAAGTTGATGCACTATCTGGTCTGCCTTTATGTTGGCATGGGTATTCATTTGTGAGGGATCATTGTCTTAATAGCCTCCACACCTTCTGACTACTCCTGTCCATATTGACTTCTGTTATCAGCTTTATCCACTGTTCTTTCTTGGCTTCAGAGATGGAGGACAAAATACTCTGTATCGCATGAAGAGTTTGCTCACTAAATGGATTTTCATTGTGGAGCCTGTAATAGTCTTCCAACAAGGCAGCTGTATCAGGAATAATGCCTTGAAGGTAGCGTGTTCTGCAGCCTCTCAGTATAGAAGCCTGTGAGAAGATTTTTACTATTTTGATAAAGCGCTCGTATTCCTCAGGGATTGGGGTGACCAATATGATCTTGTCATCTAATATATCAGAGAATTTAGACCAATCTGCCTTTCTGAAGTTGAATCTGTGTTTAAATCTAACTTCCTGAGGCCTTACAGTTGGGAACATTTGGCATACCATTGGCCAGTCTGTGTGTTTGGTATTGGTGGTCCCACTGATTTAGTGCTTTGCTGCACAATGCTGTCACTCACAAATAGGAAGTCAGGGTTATATCCTCGATGCCATCTCCCACTGTTGTAGGATGGTGGGAGCTTACTATAAAAAATAAATTATAGTTTATGCAGTTCAGCCCAGGAGAGGACAGCCTCTCCATTTTTATCCTCCTGAGCATAACCCCATATGTGGCTATGGCAGTTAAAGTCACCAATTACTGCAGCCCTTTGGTGCCTATCAAAGTTTGCAGGGGAGGAGAAACAAAATGCTTCATTCGGCACAACCTGGGGATCAGAACAAGATGCAGTGAAGACATCTGCCCTTGTGCTTTGCTACTCTGCTGCTGAATACGCATGCCCAGTATGGAATACATCGCACCTTGTTAAAACAGTGGATGTGGCTCTTAATGAGACATGCCGCATTATCACAAGATGTCTATGCCCCACACCATTGGAGAAATTATACTGTTTATCTGCTATTGCACCACCTGACATCTGTTGGGAAGTAGTAGCCAATACTGAAAGGACCAAGGCAGTGACATCTTCAGGCCGTCCTCTGTTCAGGTATCAGCCACCATACCAACGGCTTAAATCAAGAAACAGCTTTCTAAGATTGAGAGAGATACTTGCAGGAACACCTCAGCAAGCAAGAATCCAAAAGTGGAAGGTTAATCAGTGGCTGAAACCAGATGAGAAACTCCCTCCTGGGCACACAGAAGATTGGGTGACTTGGAAGGTGCTGAACAGGCTGTGTTCTGGTACCACAAGATGCAGAGCTAACCTTAAGAAAGGGGGCTACAAAGTGGAGTCCACAACATGCAAGTATGGAGAAGAGCAAACCACAGACCACCTACTACAATACAACCGGATTCCTGCCACATGCACAATGGAGGACCTTCTCACAACGACACCAGGGGCACTCCAAGTGGCCAGCTTCTGGTCAAAGGACATTTAGTATAATGCCAAGTTTTTAAACTTTGTTTGTGATTTTAAATACATTTTAACTGTACCCCAACTCGCTTCTGACACGATAAATTATTTGTCTTACCTGCCTCTTCTCATGGCTCAAGGGCATAGCTAAAAACACTGTAAACATATATTTATTTATTTTATTTATTTACTTCATTTATACCCTGCCTTTCTCATCCCGCAGGAGACTCAATATATGAAGCATTGTAAGCATTCTGTTAAATACACATATTAAAATGTATTTCTATAAAATATACATATTAAAATATACAGAACAAAGACTGAAACACAAGACGCGAGTTTAAAATTCATGATTAAAAGTGACTGGGTAGGACTGCCAAAAAAGATATAATTTAAAATACTTCTGAAGACCAAACAGCTCATTTAACTGTTGGAGCTCTTCTGGCAGGTCGTTCCACAGTCATTGGGCAGCCAATGAAAAGCTGTGCAGAAAATGTGAATAGTAATGAAAACCAATGTGCTTCTGAATGCAAATGATTGACCTAAACCCAAGCTAGATATTATGTAAAATTCTTTGTTACATATCCTTCTATGTTACATGTTTTGTTGGTTTTGCCTTAACTAAAGTAGGCTGGCTATCCAACAGCTGGGACAATGAGCATTCTTAATCAAATGGCACTCTGACCATTTTCTAGGTGAAAATCATCCCTTATGGGTGGTTTTAAACTTAAAAATGATTAGCTGGAAGGTTAAACATTAACATTTAAAATGTAAAACTTAATGTAATATCAACTTTAGCTCTTAAAAATTGATTTTATGGAGCCACATCTAGGAGGGTGCCTTCTACATATGCATCTAATATTTCCAGTGACTTTTATTTATCTCAATTTATCCACTTAGCTATCTTTCAACATGATGGGGTCCTTGTCCTTATTAATAAACCAAGTCTGTATTTAGAGTGGGTAATGTATTCTCATCCAGTCCATCTGGAACAACAACTGCCCTTAGACCTTTCCTGTTATAGTTTCCACATTTGGGAATTCGAAGGTGTCCTTCGAGGTCCAGCCTTTTGCTACATTATTTTTCATTGTGTATCAGCTGTTCCACAGTCTTTTTTGTTTTGTTTTTTTACTCAAGGGGCTTTTTTTTTTACAAGGATCTCTGAAAGATGGGTGAACAGTATGTAGAGAGGAATCTGTTAGCCCATTTTCTAGAAATCCTTTATACTCATCTCAGCTCTGAAAACAACTTGCATTGTTACCTGCTTCAATTCTCTTGTTTAGACATTTTTGCTACCATATCCAAAAGGATGAGGAAACAGTTGGCTCTGAAATCTTATTTAGTCCATACTGTGAAATTTGTCTTATAAACACAGCTGCCCTTATATTTGTAGCCCTTACTTGGATTTGGATGGTCAGTGGGAATCTTTACAAATAGATAACTAGATGACATTTTACTTACCATTTACTAAACATTTTCTCCACTGAAACAGATCCATGCTTTTACAGGTTTCCATAGTCTAAACTCGGTTTATTTATTGTATTTGGCATGATTTATGTCCTCCAATAGTTGGATGTATGACACCCTCCATGATAATTAAAACAGTTTCCAATATATAAGACGTGGTAACTAACATTAATGTTAAATTAAGTATATAAAAAAACAATTACAGCTTTTAAAGTCTTTTGGAATTAAAGTCAGAGACAGAGAGTCAACATAGTATAATGGTTTGAGTGTTATACTAGGACACTTTGAAAGCAGAGTAGGAATCACCATTTGACCTTGAAAACCCACAGGACGACTTTGGGCAAGTCTCACACTCGCAGCCTCAGAGAAAAGCAAAAGCAAATCT